TCCTGAAACCACGCCTTCTTTCTTTGCGTGCACATTTGGGCGGCATTACGCAAATATTTCCACATCGTGATGTAGAGATGTGGGGGCGTGTTCGAAAGAGGCGTTTTAGCCCAGTCTGGATCAGCCTTCTCTTTTAGATAGAATACATCCTTTTGTGGGAGACTTTGAGCTTTGTAACTCTGCAGATCTTATACATGCACAAATAGCTACATAAATAATAAAATTCATTACTAAATCGAAGTTTAACGTTAATCATTTATTCATTTAAAGCTACTTACCTTTTTTTATTTTACTTCATTTCTCTGTGAAGCACTTTGACACGAACCCGGTTAATCAATATGACAAAAAAACAAACAAACTGGTTTTATTATAGTAAAACCATGTTTTTGCGCATTGTCTAACATTTATATAAGCACACAAATACAATCTAAACTGTGTTTTTTTGTATCAAAACCATGGTTAATGTTCGCAATGGGTGCAATAATCCCCACCTTTCGCCCGCAAAAGGCGATTTAAACCCGTGGCCTAAGAAGATATATAACTTTTTTTTATATATAAAATATAAAATAATTCCACTCCCCCCTCCAGATACATCCCTGCATCTCATTCTATTCTATTCCATTCTATCATCTATAGCACAACTGCACATACAATTTATTTATTTTTCTATGTATTTTTCAATATGTGTCTATTTATATTTACATATGTGTATTTTTTTTTAATTCTCATCTTATTTTTTATTGTCTGTGTGTTGTTGTTGTTGTCTCTGTGTACTGGAAGCTTATGCCACTAAAACAAATTAATTGTATGTAAATTTCTTGCATACTTGGCAATAAAGCTCTTTCTGATTCTGATTCTGAAAATGACTGAAGGTATAACACCAGTAGACTTTTATTAACTATAAATGTTCTTTAAAAACAACAGCAGCTTTCAGTCTGTCACCCTGATGCAAACATGAAATATCAGACATACAGTAGTAGTTCTTCACAGGTTTTTTATTCGATCGCGCAGCTTTTGCATTGTTTATTCTGTGTAAACATGGATGTGTTTGACTGTTGCGCTCGCGTCTCTTGCAGTGTCTGTCTCATGCATGAAACAGCTTTATAAAAACACTGCGCTCAAGTTGAAAGAAATTCACTCCCATCTTTTTGCATGTTTTACCTCTTCCACAGCCCGCGTCGCATCGTTGTCAACACAAAAGCTCATTCTCTGTGAATAGGTTTAGCGCTATATATTTATGGTCCTTCACAGAGAGAAGCGGTTAATCACGTGCGCCGACATGCGGTCGGATCGTTCTTTACTCTTTACTGTTATCACCGGCATAGCCTATTGTCAAAGTGTCTAATTCTAACATTTGCTAATATTTCTATTGAAAATCGCGATTCCTCGATTTCTAAAAAATAAAATCGTGGCAAAACAATAAATTCGAATTAATCGGTAAAATCGGGAAAATCGCCCAGCCCTAAAGGAAATGTCCTCTCTCTCTCTCTCACACACACACACACTCTCTCTCTTTCTCTCTCTCTCTCTCACACACACCACACATACACACTCTCTCTCTTTCTCTCTCACACACACACACACTCTCACTCTCTCTCTCTCTCTCTCTCTCTCTCCCTTACAGGAAACCGTATGCATTTTTAGATAAAAAAAAACTAATTCTGAATGATTTATAAGCCTTGCAATATGGGGACACTAAAAATGTCCTCATAAATCACCTTCTCCTTGTAATACTTATGTCATACCCATGTCATTATACAAATTTTTGTCCTCATAAATCACAAACACA